TTGGAAAAAGGGAAAGGGGTGGGGGGGGGGAGGTTGATATAAAAAATATTAGATAGCACTGAATGATTAAGCGGTAGCAATCCTTCTACCACTACAAAACCGCAGCGCGCACACACACACACACACACAAGGAGGCTTAACAACACCAAACTCTTGTTGACTGCAATGTGCACCTCACTTCGCTGGTCTGAAGACACTGAACGCCCAAAGCACACCAAAGATAATTGAAAACATCTGAATGGCTTTAATATGAATCCAGCTACTCGACTGAAGAGTGTACCAGGGAGGGCTTTTGCTCACTTGCTTTCCTTTTCCTCCACTTGGAACAAGCAGTTTCTCCCCGTGTCTTTGTTTCGGCTCATCCCTGAGTCACCTTCTCATTTCTCTTCTTCAAAGCCAAAACCTCTAATCAGGAAAACTGAAAAAGAAACAGAGATAGAGCATTGTTAGAGGTGGCTGCGGCTCTGCTGGCCGCTGCCAGGGACGCCCCAGCGGAGAGGAGCCAGATTTCTGTGCCGCGGTCCCTGCCGGCTGCTCCCCTCGGAAATAGGCTTTTTTCCTGGCACTCAACGGTGCCTGGGAAAAACCCGCAGGTCGGCTGGAGCGATGGGGCTCCGCGAACACACGGGCCGTCGCGTTTGCGGGAGAACACAGTCACTTTAACAGCGCCGGTCGTGCAATCGTTTTTACCTCTTTCCTCCTGGGATTTAGACCTTTTCTGTGTTCATGGCGAGAGCTTTCCATACGGTTGTTTTAGGCATTTCGTCTGAGATATTAATGTCGGAAGGATCAACCCTGCAAGAAATATTTTAGGTAGCAAGCGCTGTGATTGCAGGAACCGATGCATTAGCGTGTGCTGGTCTGCTCTCAAAGGAGCAGTGGCAGCGAAAGGAGCAGTGTGGTTTGCCTAAGTGCAAGCACAGGACACTTCCTGGATCATGAATTTTAGGATGCAAGCCTGAAAGCTGCTGAGCAACAGCTCTGTGCAAAGGGCCTTTCAGGCGTTTAGCATCTCACCAAACCAGGTCCCTAAGCCACTGCTGCTACAGGACACATGCATGCAATTCTTCATTTCTAAGCACGTTGAGCTCTGTCCACTGTATAGGCAGGATGACGCAAGTTTTGGGGTCAGCGTGCACCCACTCTGCTCCCTGCTTCGCCAGGGAACAGCCCCACTAACCACAACCCTCACCCAAGCAAAGGGGCATCTCGCACGGCCTCAAATGACCACTTTGGGGGTCATAAACTCCACTTTCACATCGAGCTGATTGAGTTTCTAAATGACGCTCAAAGATGCAAACAGAGGATGACTGTGCCAAACGCCATGTCAAACTACTCTTGCCAGAGGCTCCTGGCACTCAGTGGAGTTTTACCTGTCACTATTATCTTGATTTGAGACATCCGAGTAGCTGGTCTTGCCCAGGTTCAGCTGGACTGAATTTGCAGCAGCAGCTTCCATCATTTTCTGAGACTCCTGCCATAAAAGGGACAAATCAGGTTCTCTGCCTTTGAGCAAAGCAAAGGTAAATTCTAAAAATCCTGCCGCGCCGTCACGCGCCATGCTCTGCTTCCGAGCCCGTGGGGAGCCTGCCACAACCAGCTGTGAGCAGAGCAGGGCAAACCTTTTCGCTTCAAACATTTTGGGGGGGCTAAAAACCCATTATAAGCAAATCTTTCATAGAAAATTACTTTAAAAAGACTATTTTTAGAAATTACATGCCTTTTTTCACATGTTAAGCTCACTGCTAATTTTGGAAAAACTGATGATGTGGCATCTAG